ATTGACTGATACCCAGTACTTGTGATTTTGTTGAAATACTAAAGTACATAACTCACACATTGTTGATAATATATAAGCACTTCCGTTTGCAATTAAATATATACAAAAAATATAAAGTTATAATAACAAAATACTTTATGTATAGCATGACTGACGTCAATGTTTCAAAGTATTTATTTTATCTTCCACAAACTCTTTTTCTTTAATATTTAATTAAACCAACATAGGGAAGATATACTCCAAATTTTATTTTCTAATCTATTCTAGTTTATATGATATTCAAAAAAATCGCAAAGTTAGCTATATCTGTGTCTAAATTTCGAGACGTTCGGATAGGCCGGTAGCACATTGGAAAAAATACAGGCAAAAGAATGTCCATCTCAAAAACTATAGTTAAGAAAATTTAATTTTAATATCTCATTATTTTAATATCTAACTATAACTCTGGCATTGTCACTTCGGTGATGATATCTATCCAATAATATACATATATTATATAATTATAACTTTATATTTGAACTGTTATATAATTATAATTTTTTTATTAACTTTGTGTTTTACTTTTATATTTTAAAATTATTTATATAAGTTCTTACGATAAGTTCTTAAATGACAATCAAAAAAGTAGACTTCAAAAAATCTAATGTATATTATATATGGATAATTATATAAGTTGAATATAATTTTTGTGTATCTTCAATAATTTTATTATTATCATAAATCGTATTGTGTTTTATATATATTATTATATATGATACATAATATTATTATATTATATGTTTTTATTTTATTGTATACCTGAATCTAAATACATTTACTAAGCTAATTCTGGAAATTATAAGGCAATAATTTTAGGTATGATTAATTTTATTAGAGCTATATGAATCAGTTCATGTGATTGTGAAAGAGTACTTGATCATACTATAGTAGATGTGAACTGACGTCTATTTCGAAATATCAATTAATAAGATCCAGTATGACCTTTATAGAATCATATTAATTTTATAATGTTTATAATACATTTATTATATTATATTATATATATCCTTATATTTATATATATTTAATATAAAAAATAGTAAAATAATTAATATTCTTATAAAAATTATTAACTTTAATAACTATTATTTATAATTGTGTTAAGTTTTATAAGACAAGATCCTGACTTTAACAGATATAGAAACATAAATGCATATATCTTACGTGTAAATGCCTCAAATAATCAAAATCAATCAAAGATAATATAATATACTATAAAGTTAATAGAATAATTAATTCTTACTATAAATACTTATCTTTATATCCTGAAAATCATATACTTTCTTCAAAAGTAATAGAATATTATATTTTTTATAAAATAAATATTTATATATAAAACAAAATATTTTATAAAATAAATATAAATGCATTTAATATATATTTAAATATATACATAATAATATATTAATTATAAACTAAGTATTTATATAAAAGTATTTAATTTATAAAATAATGTAGATATATATATTAAAGCCTTTTCCACACACACACACACACAGCTTTAGCAACGCAACTCTCTTCATAATTATAAAAGCGTAAAAAATGTCTTTACCAATCCGACCATCAATCCATACATAAATTATGTCTCTTTTCGAAATATATTATATTTTACAGCCTAACCTATATTGTTCCAAGAGTTTTTTTCAATAAATTTTCAGTATTTATGTTATAGTAGTAAACAAATGTAGTTAAGATAAGAGTAGTGCTTAAAACTTTTAATGTCATTGCCAGAAAGATTTCGTGACCTGAACACCCAAAACCCACTTGAGCCACTTAAGATTAGCTATTAATTCATTATTATAAAGCTTATAAGCATATAGTTTTTAAACAATTGCTTAGCTTACTGTGTAATATCTATATAGTATTATTAACCTCATGACATTTCTCAATTAAGATTTAAGGTAGCTTTAAAAAGAATTAGGTGCATATTATGGGACCAGACTATAGTAAATTTTAGCATTTCCAGCGGTTACCTTTCTCAATTCTATCACTATTTCGTGATTATTAGTAGTTTACTATCTACCATAAGATTATTTAGAAATTCATCATTTTTTCTTATTAGCTTATAAAACGGACATCTATGGTATTTCTATTATAATTGTTAGTAGAACTTTCTATATATATTGGGTGTTTCATATACTATGTATTGTTTATGCTTCATATATATAATTCCCACATTATATTTATTATTTTATTTATTAAATAATTTAATAATTTATTAAATAATTTATTAATTAAATTATAAGTAATTATTATAATAATTATAATTAATAATAAACAGTGCACTTGAACTTGAATAAGCATGGAGATGTGGACTTGCAAAATGCATATCTTGTTGAGTTCCCTATTAGTCGCCTCTTACGACAAGCAAGGGAAGGCTGTGGCTGTATTCTTCCTACTTAGATCGCCAAAAACGCGCCCCATACCACAGGGCCAGGCCAGCAGAAGGGCAAGTGAGAGAGACAGCAGTTTTTCACAATTTGACGTGACAACAAAACACATTAATTTATGCTTGTAAAATAATTTTGTAACATTAAAACTATTTTATTTGTAAAAATTTAAATAAATAATTCGAAAACAAAATATTATTGTTTATTTTAATTTGTTATTCTTTCTTTTAAATACTAAAAGATTTATTTAATTGTCGTATTATATTATTTACATTAAATATTTAAATACAGTTTTGTTATGGTTTTATTATCTTTTTCACTTTTTTTAGTTTTTCTCTTGTATGTATATAAAGATTTATGGTATGTATATATAATAAAGTTATTAATAAATTTTATTTTTCACATTTGTTTGAATTTTTTTGTGGCTCTTAATTTTTTTTGTGTTTTTTGTGTTTTTTGTATTTTTTGTATTTTAAATTTATTTTTAAATTATTTTCTTACAGAAAGATTAGGCCTAAAATTACGTATATTTTTTTTCTTTCAACTTTTCGCTATTAATTATATCGAATTATTCCACAATTTGTCCTTGCTTATCAATTAATTTTTGCAAATTTTCAAATTAAATGTTTTTTGAATTTATTAAGAATTTTTTTTAAACTAATTTTGAGTTTAGCTTTTGAAAATTTTTAAAAAGAAAACGAATTTAGTCCTACTATTTAAATATTGAAAAATATGTAGTAAAGTTTTATAGAAAAATACATATTCGTTCCTGCCAATTGAATCAGTAATGAGTACATTGAATGAATCCTTGCTCCACCATTAGGTGGCTTTATCAATGGAAAGTGGTTCTATTTGTTTTTCGTATGTTTCGTTTTTTGCTTTACGTTTTGTTTGGAATAAATATATTTATTATAAGCTTACTTAGATCGATATACAAGAATTTCTACATAAGGATCATATGTATATATTTTCACACACACATATACACATATATATATACTTTTATTTTGGATTTATATTTAATATCTACATATTCAACGTATTTATAAATATATATAAATATATATGTATATATATATATTATGACTTTGGTATATATTTAGTTACCGCATTTTACAAGTTCAGTAATAATTACGGATTTTCAATCCCCCACGTCCTTTAAACTAATATATATAACTTAATAATTTCACTAGTTCACAAATTATTTGCTCAATTACAATCTCAGATATTTTAAGGAAATTTAAGATAAATTGATTTGAACAGATTTCGTAATTGAATTTTGAAACTTAATTGCATTTTTAGTGCTCAAGTTTTTTTTTTTTGTTTAATTTTTTTAGAAAAGTGAGTCATTAGATAAATTTCATACAAAACTTGCATTTATATCTGCAATATAAATTTGACGATTTGTGCTTTTCAAACATCAAATTTAATTAACATTCGGTATACATAATATCCTTTTCATTCTATCTTTTTTTAAAAATAAACTGAATTTTGAAATACCAATTTTTTTGCCTTTAAAATAAAAAGATTGCACCAGTGTTGTCGGTTTTTGTACAAAATTTCTTAAAAAATGGAAATATTTTCTAATCAAAAATATATAAAAATTTTAGTATGAAGTTTTTAGTAGTTTTTATTGAGAATTGTTGCTGTTAAAAACAGGGTTGGTAAATTAATAAATAAGAAAATCATTTCTAACTGTTTTGGTAAATCTTTGTCTAATTTTTTACAAGTTTTTTTTTTGTTTATTTTTTTATATAATTATTATTTTTATAATCTTATATGGGAACCACACTCTATACTTAATGCAATATATATTTACTGTTTTTCTACATGTACCATTATATTATATACAATTTTATTAAATTTATATTAAGTTTACAATCTCATTTATTATTTTATTATTATGCATAATTTCTTAAAAATTTCATTATAATTTTTATATTTTTATTTTTATTTTTTTTTTGAGTTGTTTTATATTCGAAATTGCGTTTCAAAAATTAATTTGAATTTATAACTTAAGTTAAGTGTATTAATTTAATTTACAATATATTATTTGATTTGCTTTCATTATAATAACCAATATCATTACGTATTTGTATATATAATTAAATAACTTATATAAATTTGAGGTCACATGAGTTGGTTTTGTTGAGTTCTCTTAAATAGTTTTTTAACTTTCTTCCTGTTTTCTAAATAATAACAAAGATTAACTAAGTATTTCTAAGGACATGTAATTTATAATTATTTTTAAAATTTTTTTATAATTTTTTCATTGATTTTTTATTTTATTTTTGTGCAAAAAACATAATTTTAGTTAAGTGGAAAATTGCCAATTAATTTTAATTGTTTTTTTCTTTGTTTTTACTCTTGCAGAAATCCGAAATTGATGAAATCATTACAACTAATTAAGAACATTTTGATCAAAGGTTTAAAGTATCTATACTATATATTACCAAAACATATTTAATTTTTTCATAATTTTTATTTTTAACAAAAATCGCTTCATCTTGCATATATATCTTTATGTATAATTTCTTATAAATATATACAAATAAATCATGTTTCAAAGTGAGAGATTGTGTTTAGTTCTCATAGCTTCGTTCATTAGAATAATAACTGTATCTTCCATTTCCATAGCTTATATATATATATATATATATATATAGATACATATATATAATCTTTGTTAATTGGTTTATTGAGGACTATTTGGTGGTGTGATTTCATCACCTTCTCCGCCTGAACCAGGTTCGCCTTTTGTTTTGTTCTCCTTTTTCCACTTCATGCGACGATTCTGAAACCAAATCTTGATTTGTCTCTCAGTTAGGCAGAGAGCATGAGCAATTTCAATGCGTCGTCGTCTTGTCAAATAACGATTGAAGTGAAATTCTTTCTCCAGTTCCAGGGTCTGGTACCTTGTGTAAGTTTGACGACCACGTTTACGTTCTGTTGGTAAAAAAAAGAAAATAGAAAAATAAGTACAAATTTTTAATAGTAAAAATAATTCTAATTTTACACAACCAACTAAGCTACAAAAATTATCAAACCAAAAATCAAACCACAAGAATTAAATATACAAAAATTATAACAACTAAAAAAATATTGTTTAGGTTTTAAGTAATTTTTAATATTTGACTTGATAAGGCAGCAAAGAAACATTTTATAAAGGCAACCGCAAGAGCAACTTGAATGGTGAGGCGAAACGAAAGAAAGATCAAAAGACGACCTTACCGAATCGCTGCGTATTTGTACTTGTCAAAATCTCAACATGTGAGAAGTTCTTTTGGGTCTGTTCGGTTTCCATTCGTTTGGAGTTTTGTGGAATCTTATTTTCGAATCTTTTACTTCATGCATATTTTGAAGTTGAATCAGACATTAATCCACATGCATTTCCTTTAAGCATTTCCAGTCTTTTCTATTTTTATTATTTTTTTCCCTTTGTGCTATATAGGATTAAAATCTAGCATATTTGTTTAATTACATATGAATCTTAGTCAAATACTGACTTATAAAAATGGAAAACAAAATGCTTTTTTCATATAATTGCTCTTAATCCAAAATAATACTTGTACCTCATAAAAAGTGGATAATATGGTGGTTTATCTTACTATATAACAGTTTATAAATATATTAACTTTAAAAGACTATTATTAGAAAAAATTATTAATAAGCCACACATATTAAGTCTCATCCACATATTAAGTCTTGCAATATAATGCAGTATAATGGTGTAAATTCAGTTAGCAGATAGGTATTAGGTATTACTTATGGAGAAATTCTTAAAATTATTATGATTTATTAATAACTAGACAACTTTGTGTTTAAGCTATATGCTCTCAAAGGATACGTTTTGTAAATGAATTCGATCCATTAGTAAGTAGACCCAGGTATGTTTAAGCTACATGCTCTTTAAGACGAGGTATTGCAGATAATTGAAATCAATTAGGAAGCCCTTCGTTTTATGTCTAATCTAGATACTATTTAAGAAAAGATCCTGAACCTTACCACGATCTCTTAGAAATCAAGTTTTAGTATATATACTCTTTACAATTATTATGCATCGAATTTTCCTCAGTGATGAAGCGCTTTACATTGTGACCGAAAGGTTTTCGGAGGTTCTCATTTAAGATTCGCGCGCTGTATATTTTTCGATATTTTAAGTTTATGTAGTTTGGCAGCACTGTTCTTAATTACTATGCCAAAAGCGCGATCTGTCAGACAGTTCGTTTACGGCAGCTGTTTAAACCAGTTCACCTCAGTAGTGCGTTGCGGAAAAAACAATGGAAAAAAATATTGAACAAAGAGTTTGCATCAAATTTTGTGTTTCGAACGAAATTTCGTGTGCAGAATCTTTGCGAATGCTACAAAAGGCTTATGGGGAATCAGTTTTATCGAAAACTCAAGTTTATGAGTGGTACAAAGCCTTTCAGGACGGTCGTACGACCGTCGAAGACATGCCGCGTTCTGGACGACCTTCGACCTCTACCCCCGACGAAAACATTGAAAAGGCAAAGGAAATCGTGTTCCAAAATCCTCATGTGAGTGTTAGAGAGATAGCACGAGAGCTAGGCATCGGTCGTGAGATGGCTCGTTTGATTTTGGTGGAAAATTTGTGTATGCGACGTGTCAACGCTCGGCTTGTTCCGATTCACCTCAATTTGTTCCAACATTATCAACGATTTTAAGGCCAAACATTCAATAAATACCATC